TATATATATAAAAAAATAAAATTAAGAAAAGACACCACAAGTAGCCAGTGAAGTGATCTCAAACTGGGAATCAAATTATCAACTACTTTTATACTTGTCCCATTTGGGGTTACTCTGGAAAACATTGTTACCCGGCGCTTTCCGCTATTTACTGCACAGAGACAGCCATTACCACCTTTAACTTTCTGACACACCTTCATTTGCTGTTTTGTCTAGACAGGCAGAGGCACTGGTTTCTTCTCAGGCCAACAGGACTACTGAGTCATGACTCAGGTTCTGATATGAGATCCTTAAATACCAGAGCACAGGGAAGCCTTTCTCCCCCCACGATAATTATGGTGCAACGTCCGGGGCTTAGTTCACTGCCACTGTAGTAAACACCCTGACTGTAATTATAAATCCAACTATATCAATAACCTGCTGCTGTGTTATATTCAATGGAAATTGAATTAGTCACATTAAATTAATTAGTCCTGTAGTTGTTCCCTCTCTGTTTGGAGAAGCAGTCATTTTCTGGAAGGAACTACTTGGATTAGAAGTATTTGGGTGCTTACAGTTCTCCTTCCTTGGACAAAAAAACCAACATGAGCTTTTTAAAGAGTTTGTGAGCTTTTAATAATTTAGTGAGAATTCTCCTTACCTTGTTTACTTCTGACAGTTCTATTTCTGTTCTGTTGCAAGTTTATAACACACACACTCAAAACCCGCTGCTGTTCCAAATAATTTATAAAACAAAAAGTATTTGTGGAAGAATCCAATGCCAGCATATGTTCAGCATTCAGCGAGTGAGTTGGTTGCCAGTGGTTGTTGCCAGAGGACAACAATATGAAATTAAGGCTAACTATTAGCATAGCTTGATATAGAACTAAATAAAGTAATTCCTGCTTTAGGTCACAGTATTATAGTATAAACTGCTGTCTCAATAAAATACCAGTCATAGGGTGAAAGGTGGAGAGGAGAAACTGCGGCCAGATTACACAATAGCAGCACGGCAACAGCGGGTCCTGCTACATAATTCCAAACGGGACTGTAAGAGGGACATTTTATTAAAGTCACTGGTATCTTTCAAGAACTTTTCTGGGACAATTAAGAGATTCACACAGATATGTCCCAGGCCATCAGCTAGTGCAAACCAAAACAGCTTCACTCAAGTCAAAGCAGTAATACTGATTTATCCCAGCTGAGGATCTGACGGTGTTTTTGTTAAAAAGAAACTTCAACTTGACAGCACAGAAGAACTCTGTTACTCTAAAATGTTCAGCATTTAGAAGCCAGCTTTTTCCCCCAAATCAAATCCTTGCTACTTTCTGGTCATTAGAACTATTGAGGACCTTAGTCTGCTCTCACTGAACACAATAGTGACATTCCCTGGGGAATGCAGTGAGACCAGATCAGACCACAGAAATAAAACTCTGAGGCAACTCCTTTGCTTTTACTTTTAAAACTCTGACAGTAGAAGACTAGAGAAAGGCAAAGTGAGTACAACATCTATGGCCTATTGCTCAAGCCTTCAAGCAGCTCATACTCAGTTTGATGTAGGATGCTGGTTCAAGCTGCAATTCATTCCTCTGAATGACCTTTTTATGTTTTATTCCAGACCACAAAAGCATAAAATTTATTTTAAGTCTAAAAAAAAAAGTTTAAAAATAGTATCTTACCCCTTCTTCTTGATTGCCTTCTCTAACATTTTCTCGTATGATACCTTTTCTTTATCATATTGTGCCACTATTTTGTCAATTTGTGTGCAGTGCAACTTCTGCATAGCGCTGTGCTCCTGGAAAACAGTAGGACCTTACAATTAGGTTGCTGGATTTTTAAATGTTTAATCTTCTAACAGTGTAAAAATATCAGTGTACGAACAGATAACTTCGACAATGGAATTTGATCTGGTTTAGTCATCTGGTATTAAAGGTTCCAGATATTCCACCATAAGTGCTAAGACATTTCTTATTTGTTTGAAAAATGAAAATCTGTATCAGACCTTAAAATTATGGTATTCCTTAAAACAAAAGAATGATGGGAAAAAACTTCAGCTTTCTGAATAAATGTCCATTTAAGTGCCATGTACAATATCAGATTTACAAGCTCAGATCACAGCATTCAAAGTTTCTGAACGCAGAGGAGAACAAAACTCAGCCCAGTCCCCCCTTCCTCTACATATTTTATACTGAATACAGTGCTAGCCCCTTGGCCACTGCAAATCAAATAGCTCCAAGTCCAAACATTAGCTGAAAATCAAATCATTAACGACTGACATTCTGAAGATCTGGCCCGTGACCCCTAATGACAGCAGCAATCTTATCATTAAGAAATTCCACCTTGTTGCAGAGCATCTCCCTGTGCAAGC